ATTAAATAAAACTTAAAATAAATATAACAAAATATTTGAGAATAATTTAAGTACTAACTTTAAACATTTTCTCTTTAGATAATTTCTAGGAGAAAACACGAGTTGGCCACTAAGAAACCCATCGAAAATAAGCCCTTCATCGATGTCCTACTATCCGCCAAGCTGGATGGTGACGCGCTCAAGGAGCGCGACATAGTTGAAGAACTGTCCACATTTATATTTACCGTAAGTCGAAAGCTCATTTAGCATCAATGCAGCATCATCTAAAATCTAGTCCAACAGGGTCACGATCCCGTTGCCTCAGCCATCTCATTCACCATATACACGCTCTCGCGTCATCCAGAAGTACAGCAGAAGGTGTTTGAAGAGCAGCAGCGTATCTTTGGCAAGGATATCACTGGAGAAGCCGACATAGCACGCCTTCAGCAGATGCACTATCTGGAGCTGGTCATACGCGAAACGCTACGTCTTTATCCCTCTGTGCCGCTCATAGCGCGCACCAATCGCAAATCCATAGACATAAGTATGTGAACGAGACTCTTTGAGAACGCCAACCATTTATGCATTGTCATTGTCCCGCACAGATGGCACAAAGGTGGCCAAGCGCACCACTGTCATCATGTGCCTCCTTGCAATGGGCTACAACGAACGGTACTTTGACGAGCCCTGTGTATTCCGGCCCGAACGTTTCGAGGGCGCCAACACGAACAGCGGCCTCGATGCCTTTAAGAGCGTGCCATTCAGCGCCGGCCCCCGACGCTGCATCGGTAAGCATTGACAGCAGCTCAGCTTCCAGCTCTCAACTTAACCGAATCCCAATCCTCTCCCACAGCCGAGAAGTTTGCCATGTATCAGCTGCAGGCGTTGCTCTCGCTGTTGGTGCGGCACTTTGAAATTCTGCCCGCCGTGGATGGTTTGCCGCCGGGCATCAATGACCACACACGCGTGGACTGTGTGCCGCAGAGTGAATACGATCCGGTGCTCAACATTCGTGTAACGCTCAAATCCGAAAATGGCATTCAAATCCGGCTTAAACAGCGAGTTGCGGCGCAGCAGAGTGCTCTATAAACTGAAAATACATTCAAAGTAATTAATTGATGATTTTACAGAGCTTGTTGCATTTCATTAATTTATATATACATACATATATGCATATTAAATATCAATGAGCTCATATCACACATTTAACTGCGTTTGCTTCAAAGATTAATCGTTTGACTTTTTGAAATAAATATCAAGTTGCCTTAATGCTCACATATTTGGAATTACCTCTTTTTCCATTAAGAACTGCTTTTTATTTATGCAATATTTATTCCATTTTTAATAGTAATGTATTAAAGCAACTATATTTCATTTGCTATAATTTACTTTTTGACTAACCTACAACATCTTTTAGCCTTTTTTCCGATATTAAAATTGAATTAATTTTATTATTTATATCTTTTAAATATATTT